GCTCACATACCTGCCACGTTTTAGAGGAAGGCCTGTGGAGTTTCTCTGGAAACCTGCAGTTGCTCAGCAGTTGACCTTTCTGCATGAGGGTCTGTGATACCTAAGTCACTCTTCTTCCTTCTGAATGGTATGTGCTCTGAACTCTCACCTTACCTGGTCAAAAGAAGTCAGTCATTTGGGAATGCTTATTTGAACCATTTCCGAATTAAGCTCAGTCTCACCTGTGTCCGCTCAAGTTTCTTTCACTGTTCTTGATAAAATAAACCAAAAACAACTGAACTTAAAAGAGGCAAAATATCAGCTAATATTCAATTCCTCAGTCTAAAATCTCCCTGAAGAACTAAGCAACCAAGATACTAACAGTAGAGTCATTATGAACATTTACAAAAGGAAGTGGAAGAACCCCTGTCTCTACCATGGGAAGAAAATACCAGGCTTTGCCAGAGGTCAAGCAAGGATGAGACGCGTAGGGCAAAGCAAGGCATAGACTTGTAACAGCTTAAACACATGAGGAATCCCAACCAAGACATATATCTACAGCCTATCCTAGGTTGCATGAATAAGCGCAGCCTTGCCAAATCAACAAGATTAAATTGTTCATTAATCTAGACAAAACCTGGCTCTTCCAGGACCTAAAGATTCTCCTCTGAGAGAGATTCTACAAGCAGTATCTATTACCTCCAGAGATGATGGTTTTCAACAATAACCCCTGGGAGAGTTTTTGCACCATCAAACATTTTACCACATGCAAGAAAAATGAGAGAAAATTAGTTTTTCCTGGCTCATGATTGAACTGTATACTTTAGGTACATGAAAAATGTAACTTCCACTTATTTCTTTTTTTAAAGGTGAAATTGATAGCTAACCTTGAAACCTTATGCAAGACCCTTGAAAATCTTTCTCTGCCTCTACTCAGAATTCTTTATATATTCAGTGGCCACTAAACATGGAAAAGCCTTGGGAAAAGGAGATACGATGTGCTTTTCTAATCACAATAAAAACCATGAGTATAACGTGAATAGTTTATTTATTATATTTTATTTAAGTTAAAGTAAAATAACCAGCAATCTACTCCTTCCACTATGGTCTACCATGTTCATGAGGTACTAGTTGAGATCTAAGCAAATACTCTTTGACATTCTCAGATGATATGTGAGTCATGACAACCTGAAGTAACTTTCAATATTCCAGATGAACATGCAGAGTCTATTCATGACTCTGATGCACTGTGTAGGATGGTTCTAGGTAAAATATGTTAACCAATGGCATCCCTGCCAAAGAACTTCAAACCAAATGCAGTCTCATGGATTGTGGTAGGACATAGTATTATTATAGTCATGGGCAATATTTTTTTAATAATTAAAAGTCTACCTTATGTAACAAAGACAAAAAATCAGATGAAAGTCTCTGAATATCTAAAGGAAATATTTCAAGTTTCTAAAATGTTTACCATCATTCAAAGAAAGAATTAGAAGGATTTAAGTCAACTTGAATGGAAAGCCAAACTGAACAACTATCAGTAATAGAAAAATGGAAACTCTTACACAAGGACACAGGATGACCCATTGCAACAATGACACCAACAAGACATATATTGGAAATGTACTTTACAACTTTAGGGGGCAGGGGAGGAATGAGGAAGGTGGAGGAGGAGTGAGGGAGGTGGGGGAGGGAAGGGATAGTTGGAGAACAACAAGGAGGGGTTAACAATGCTTGTCAAGAAATGAGTACATTTCTTGTACTCATTGCCTTACTCATATAACTATAACCCATCTTTACAGTAACTTTATGATAAAATGAGATTTTAAAAAAGAAACATGGAAACCCATTCATAAAGTGCAAGAAATCTTCAACTCTGTGAGGGAGTTTAAAACACATAGTGTTGGAGAAGGATTTGACAAAATATCTAAACACTTACAAAACAAGTTCACCCTGACATTTTAAAAAATAGTCATCTTTAGTAGGCACATAGGAACACATCAACTTTCAAGTAGGATAAAGGAAAATAACTTTAAAACACATTGTAAGAATAAGAACAACTCCAAAGTCACTAAAACAACGCTTGAGAGTAAATTTCCCATCTTCAGAGAAGGGGCAATTTCCCATTTCAGAAAGGCATAACACTGCTCTGACAGGATGCTAAAAGTACATAGACTGAGCAAACACATTTTATTTCACACTTTATCAGGAGAAATAGTTTAATAAAAGAAAATCTCTAATAGTTTATAAAAAGGAACTCGGGTGCATATGGGACAAGTTCTAAATTATAAAACCAGAAAAAGCCCAAGAGAAACCACTTGCTCAGATCGAGTTCTGACTACTGTGAATGAAAAAGACAAAATACAGTGAATCCCTGAAATTTCACTTAACAAGCATATAAAAAAATGAGTACTCATAAAAAGAGAGTTCAAAAGGTTTTGGGGAAAATCAGAGATGTTCCTGGGTTATATACAACTAGTCTTGACAGGGGTGTGCCAGGTGGTCATGCTTACTCATTTGTAATCTATTTTAAACACTCTTTAAAAAGAAAATAAAACATGAATCACAAAACATCAATTAAAGGATACAAAATAGTTGAAGGCCTAAAAATGCAAGTCTCCAAATGAGATATCTTCACTTCAAGTGACAAAGGAAACAAAAGCAAACAAAATATAAGTTAGAAAAGAATGTATAAAAACTTCAGAGGAAACTTTAATTCCCTCTTAATACTCACAGCACAGCAAATTCACTGTACAATGGAGACCTCAAACAAACAAACAAAAGAGATGGACATTTGTAATGCATTTCTGAGAGACAACTTAAGCAATTCAAAACTAATTTCATTCAAAAAGAAAACACAAAAAATAATACTGATAGGGTAAATTGGATCAACGTTCATTATACACATGTTGTAAATATTATAATGAAACTCCTTTGTAAAATTATACCACTAAAATTAAATTTAAAAATGAAAGTTAAAACTTAAAATGGATCACAAAATTAAATGTAAATGTAAAGCCATAATACTTTCAGAAGAAATTAACATCCTTAGCAGAGAAAAAATATGTGCACTTAAATTTGACATTGTCTTTTACATATAATACCAGAGGTACAATCAACAACAGATGGACTTTACTGCAATTAAAATTTTCTGAAAGGTCATATTCAGTGAATTATAAGTTGTATGTTTGTAGCTCCTGCTACTCAGAAGGATGAGATCTCACAGTTCAGAGCCAGCCTAAGCAGGAAAGTCGATGAGACTCTTACCTCTAATTAATGTCTAAAAGTCAGAAGTAGAACTGTGGCTCAAGTGGAAGAGCCTTGAGTATAAAAACACAGGGACAACATAGTCCCTGAGTTCAAGCCCTAGGACCAACACACACACACACACACACACACACACACCAGAAAAAGAGAGAGAGAGAGAGAGAATGAAGCCACAGACTTCAGAAAATATGCAAATATATCAAATAAAAGACGGTTATGTAAACAACTCTTAAAAATCAACAGTAAGAAAATAGATGACCCTAACTGAAAAAAATGGAATTCCATTGTGTATATATACGACATTTTCTGGATCCATTCATCTACTGAGGGGCATCTGGGTTGGTTCCATATCTTACCTATGGTAAATAATGCTGCAATGAATATAGTTGTGCTGGTAGCTTTAGTGTGGTCTTGTTTGTGATCATTTGGGTAAATGCCCAAAAGTGGGATTGCTGGGTCATAGGGGAACTCTATGTGGAGTCTTTTGAGGAACTTCCATACTGCTTTCCAAAGTGGTTGAACCAGTTTACACTCCCACCAACAATGCAGTAAGGTTCCCTTCTGTCCTCATCCCCTCCAGCATCTGTCTTTATAAGAGATCTTGATTCTAGCCATTCAAACGGGGTGAGGTGGTATTTCAATGCTGTTTTGATTTGCATTTCTTTTATGGCTAGAGAGGTTGAGCATTTCTTCATTGTCTATTGGCCATCCTTCTTTCCTCTTCAGAGAAGTTTCTCTTTTAGTCTTTGGCCCACTTATATATTGGGCAGTTGTTTCTTTGAAGATTTGTTGTTGGGGGATTTAATGTTTTGAGATCCCAGTATATTTTAAATATGAGACCTTTGTCTGTTGTATGGCTAGTGAAGATCTTCTCCCAGTCCATGGGCTTTCTATTGATCTTGCTAGCTATATCCTTTGCCATGCAGAAGCTATGCAATTTTATGCAATCCCATTTGTCAAACCTTTCTTTGATTTGTTGTGTTTCTAGGTTTCTATTAAGAAAATTTCAGGCTGTGCCAAGGAGACCTAGGGTTTCTCCTATTCCATCCTATAATGTTTTCAGAGTGTCTGCTTTGACTCCGAGGTCTTTGATCCATTTGGAGTTGATTCTGGTACAGGGTGATATATAAGGATCTAGCTTTAGTTTTCTACAAGCAGTTAACCAATTTTGCCAGCATCATTTACTGAAGAGGCTGTCTTTCTTCCATTCTATTTTTTTAGCTCTCTTATCAATGATTAGATGGCTATAGGTCTTTAGGTTCATTTCTGGGTTTTCAATTCTATTCCATGGGTCCTGAGGTCTGTTCTTGTGCCAGTACCAAGTTGCTTTGATTACTATGGCTTTGTAGTAGAATTTGAAATTTGGTATTGCTATTTCTCCAGCACTGTTCTTTCTGTTAAGGATCGATTTTGCTATTCGTGGTCTTTTATTGTTCCATATGAATTTTTGGATTGCCTCTTCTATTTTCTTGAAGAATGAGGTGTGGTATATATAAACAATGGAATTCTATGCCTCCATCAGAAAGAACGACATTGCCCCATTTGTTAGGAAATGGAAAGGCGTGGAAAAAATTATATTAAGTAAAGTAAGCCAGGCTCAAAGAAACATAGGTCCCATGGTTTCCTTTATTTGCAATAACTAGTATATGTCTGAGTCAAGCAGAAAAGGTCAGATAAGTGGATGTTAGGAAAATGAACCCCAAGATAAGTATTCAACTGTTTTTTTTTCTTTCACACGATTGTTTCTAACATATTTTTAAGATGATTTCTTTGTTGCTTTGAATGTCCTTCCCCCATGATATAACCCCTGCTTTCACTGTATTTGATATTGGTATAATTTGATGAGGGGAAGGGAAAAAACAATTCGTTTAGCTAGGGATACAGGTGGACCTATTACAACAATGAGATGTATAAGTCGTTATGTCGAAAAACGAACTTTACAACTTTGCTGGGGGGGGAGGATGGGGTGGGAGAGCAGTATGGGAAGGGATGGGAAGGGGAAACAAAGGAGGAGGCAACAATGCTTGATAAGAAATGCACTCATTACCTTGCCCATGTAATTGTAACCCCTCTATATGGTATTTTCACAATAAAACAAAATGGGCCAAGGACTTTGATATCTCACTAAAGAAAATATACAGATGGTGAATAAGCATCAAAAGGTTGTTTCTTCCCCATATGCCATCAGGAGTATACAAACTACAACCACAGATACAACTACACAGTATTCTGACTAAAATTCAGAAGACTGACAAGCCCAAATGTCAATGAGAATCTGTTAGCACAGGAGTTCTCAGTCATTGCTAGTGGAACATCCACTTTGGAAAACAGGTTAGTGATTTGTACAATACTAAATGCAGCATTAGCTTATGATTGAGCTGTGATGCCCTTAATATATAACCAAAGAGGTTGAAAACATGTCCATAGAGAAACTTGCAAGTGCACACAGATGTTTATAGCAGACCTATTCCTGACTGACATAAGTTGGGAGCAACCAAAATATCCTCCCATAGGTGGACGAATAAATAAACTGTGGTACTTGTAGACAGTGGGCTATTTTTCAAGGCTAGTGGGAATATTTAGGGATGTGTGTTTCTATAGTACTGGCAACCTGCCAATGAACATTTATGTATTATCTCTAAATACAACAAAAGTGAACAATAAGATGATAGGTGAAATATAGGTTCATCAACTCTAACAATGTACAGTACTGTCATTATTTTACCCTAAAAATAAGAACAGAAAAAGGCAAAATAATTTTTCTAAGGTGTTACCTCAAATAGAGCAGGAATAAGGGGAAAAGAAAAAAAAGTGCACAGTCTATCTAGCCAATCTTCTCTTTTAAATGGCTCTTGTGAAAAGAAGTGACAAGCTATTTTGTCTTCAGAAGTTTTGGAGTGTACTAGTGTCATTAACTCAGTAAACAAGAACTGTGTCAAGGTTTACTGGCATCTCTTTAAAAGTCTTATTTTGTATTGCTTTGGAAATACTGGACTTTGAACATAGAGGCTTGGATTTCTAGGCAGGTACTCTTACTCCTGAGTAACACTTGTAGCACTTTCTGCTTTTATTATTTTTCAAACAAGATCTCCCTTTTTATCTAGGCTTGCCTGGATTAAGATCCTTCTTCTTAGGATACCTATGTGGCTGGGATGTCAAATGCCTGCCTGTTTTTGCTGTTGTTGTTTGTTTTTTAGTATTTTGTTTCTTTTTGTTGGACTATAGTGGCACTCTAACTACAACTACCAACAGGAGCATTGGTAAAATTATTAATTCCTCCTCAAGGCACGGCAAGTATTACTTTAAAATCTAGTCATCCCTTACAGATTTACCCATTGTAACAAAGAGATGTACAAGACGCTATGTTGAAAAATGAACTTTACAATTTAGGCGGGGGAGTGGGGGGTGGAGGGGTGTCCTTGAGGAGGTGGGAAGCACTGGATGGTAGGGGAAAAACAAAGGAGGAGGCAACAATGCTTGATAGAAAATGTACTCATTACCTTGCTCATGTAACTGTAACCCCTTTGTACAGTATTTTCACAATTAAAAAAAACTTATTTAAAAAAAATCTAGTCATCACTGGCAAAACACTATTTTTTTTTCCCATTAGCTTCTGGTTTGAAAATTACATTTAAAAAAATTAACTATAACTTTAAAATCTCAGATCATATTAAAAGGTTAAAGTGTGGAATATTCTAAAGTCTTGTTCGTTCTGATAAAATAGTATTTCACCAATTGGCATTCAATTAGACATAAAAACAAAACCAAAAAACAGAAAAGACTAATGTAATATTCCCTCATGTCTGATTCTCACTAAAGATTTTCATTTATCCAGTTACTCATGGAACACTGCTATATGACATTTCCTTTTCTATTTTTTGTATTTTTTAACTATTTAAGATTTCACAAGTTAAGCAACAGGATCTTTAAAAGTTTAAGAACTAAAATATCTTACTAACTGAAAAACAAAAAACAACAAAACATAGTTATACACAGAATGCTATTTCTGTGTGTGTGTGTGTGTTTGTATCTGTTTGTGTGCATATGTGGTGTTTGTTGAACATGTATCTTGGTTCCTAAGAATAAGAGTCAGTATACATGAGTTTTTTACTTGGTCATAATTTAGTAACAAAGAGAGGTTTGGCAAGACAATTTTACTTCTTAATATCTTCTTAGCATTGTTAGAAGTTTGTATTTTTGTTTGCAAAAATTATATATATATAATGTTCAAGACCCACCCTGAGAGCTTTTATCACTAATGTGTTCAGATAGTCTGTCCAGTAGAGGGCATGGAAGGCTTAACATGGAAAACATATGCTTAGTTTAAAAGCCACTGGTTAGCTGTGGTTTTGCCCTGCAACTCTGACAACCTACTGCATTGTTTCTTCCTCCACCACAGGATGGAAAATATGTGTCATCTTAACATGAAGCAACCCTATTTACCTAAAAGCCAATCGCAACAAAAAAAAGGAAGTCATCAAAGAAAATGGAAGCTTTTACTTTAAATGTGTCAGCCTGTTTTGTTTTGTTTAAAATATTAACTTTGCAACCTTTTAAGGAAAGGTTTCTGTCTGAACACCAGGTATTGTTTTAACACTTAAAAAGACTAATTCTTATAAAAATTATCAAATCGATAGCTATTCCTACTAGTCAATCACAATTTTCATGAAAAATTGTTAGCCTTAGTCTGAAAGGGATTCTGAAAAGCAAATACTCTAAACAAAACAATCTAGGATAGTCTCATTTAAACTAATTTCTTCCTAGTGCATATGTGGATTCATTTTGTTAATATATAGAAATGACCGCCTTCCTCTGGTTCGGAGACCTCTGAGAAATTTCACTGTTCATTGATTTCTTCATCTCCCATAATCACTGATTTTCCAGACAGAATCTATTCAATATTGTAAAGTTGACACTACAAATCTGCAACATTATACTGATATCTAGTAATACATATATATGTGTGTGTGTGTGTGTGTGTGTATATATATATTATAATTATGTCTGTGTGAACCTTGAAAATATATGGTTTGATCACTGTTTTGTTCATATATATTCAATTTGGGAAACTTTCCTATAGTACATTAGAAATTATAAAAGGTTTTCCATGTAAGATATGCATAAAGACTTATGGAGCTGACAAGAAACACATGATCCTCTTAATAAGATGAGAAAACCGGGCTCAACAAGGTGTGAGGTTACTGTCCCAACAGTTACTTAGTATTTACTGGTTATGCACTGTCTCTAATTAGTTGTTAGACTGACACAATCCAGCTCATTCTTGCTGGGCTGGCTAGTCTCTTGCCCTCTCTTTTTCCTTCCCTCTACACTCCTCCTTTTCTCTGTTCCCCACCTCCTGTCTGTCAGAATTCCTGACCTACAAGTAAGCTTCAATCTCTATAAGTATACCCAAGGCTGTAAGTGAAAAACAGGTTTGTACTATGGAAGAAAATCAAGTCTTCTACACATTACAAATGTGTTTAATGCAGAAAATATGTCTCTGTGTTACACATACTTAGTAAATAAATATGGTAATATCAGAAACTGAAAGTATATGTATGAATGTTATGCACTTCTTTTGGAAATATAGAACATAGTAGTACAAAAAAGTCAACCTGACAGTCTTGTAAACATGTTTTAAAGTATTACTGAAATCTAAATACTTCCCCTTTCTATCACAAAATGTGTAACTGTTCTCTTCAGTATTAACTGCACAGTTGGCTCGCAAGTCAAACTTAGAGCTCCAACTACTGGCAGCTCAACAAAGAAATGTGTTGGCGGGTTCCAATTTTCCAGAATATGTCTCCAATTCTCTTTTAATAGACCTAATGCAAAGTAGGTAGTGCATCTGTAGCCTAATTAATACACTATTGTCAATTTTCCTGCCTGCTTAGAGTCTTGACAGGGAAACTACTTTTATTCTATTACATCATTCTACTATTATCTGAAATGCAGTCATTTTGTAGTTGAGACCAATTAATCGGAAGAGAGGAAAACCTGCAGCTGGAAGAAATTACAGATGAAGTAAACTGCTTATACCTTTCTATCATTCCCACACATTAGACCCACACATTATCAATCCAGTGTTCTGGTAAATTCTAAGCTTCCCTAGAGTGACTCATAAGGAAATCCTGACTCCTTTCACTCTTACACTTCTGTGCATTAGAATTGAAAACTCCTTTATTCTTTAAATTTCTCTCTCTTATTTCTCCCCATGGGGGGGGGGGGGGAGGGGGAAGTGCTTTGTGTTGGTCCTTAATGCTTTAAAGGCTCCTAAGAAACTTGTCCTGCAGCTTCACAGACCTCGGTAAGCCACGAGTCTAATGATCAAAAATGCAAAGCCCATCATCCAAGCACCTTCTGAGTCACGTCCTTCCCAGGATATTCCCAGGCAGGCTGCAGAGCAGGTCACACCACCTGCGCTGGAAAGCCAACCTATTTCCTTCCTCCCATCAAGTGAGTCTGGGGCTGCCTCAGTTTACACACCAGGTAGCATGGCGATGAGTAAGCAGGGCTGGGAAGCGCAAATGAGGAGCTGGAGTGGGAGGCAGAGAGGAAGAATTAAGGCCATTGAAGTCTGGCACCTGACCTTCCCCTGCGGTGGGGACGGGGTGGGGGGTGATGGGAAGCAGGGGCTCCCCCCCCCCCCCCCCGGGGCTTCCCCTCCCCCGCCCAGGCCTGCAGCCAGGCTCAGCCGCGGTGCAGCCCGAGCCTCGCCTTCGCCCGGCCGCCACGCCCAGACAAAGGTCACCGGCCACCGCTCACACTGCAGGCTTCTGTCTGCTCCCACAGGGATCGCTGCCAACCACCGCAGTTTGGCCTGCGTGCGCACAAAGCCAGGGCGCCTACGTCAGCAGCGCCCTCGCCTCCAGAACCTTTGGTAGCAGCCGGGACTGCCGCGGGCCGGAGCCGCCCCGCCCTCAGCCGGGCGGAAGCGGACCAATCCTCGCCTTCGGGAGGTGGGGTCTACGCCGCGCGGCTCCGCCCCCACGCCGCTGCTTCAGTTAAAAGGCGGCGAGGCGCCCGCCTGGCCGCAAACAGCTGCAGCGCCCGCGGGGGAAACTAGAATGCAGAGTGCCATGTTCTTGGCCGTCCAGCACGACTGCGTACCCATGGACAAGAGTGCAGGCGGCGGCCCCAAGAGCGAGGAGAAGCGTGAGAAGATGAAGCGCACCCTGTAAGTATGGGCTTCTGGCCCCCCAGTCCATTGCCTGGGGAGCTGTGAACGCCGGGCTTGCTGCAGACGCTGCACCCAGGGGTCTGCATTCTGACAGCAATGGTCTCCTTAGCCCGCGCCTCTGCAGGGGAGGAGGGAAAGGGAGAAAATGATTTGTCCAATGCATCTGGGTGTTATGCACTCGTGTGCTTGGAGGGCGGACGCTGCAGTAGGTGTGAGGAGCTGGGGTCCTGGTTCTGCATTCAAGAAGAGTTCGGACCCTGGGTTCAGACCCATGGGTTGCCATGAGTTCAGGTCTGTTCACGGGGCTGCCAGGTGGAGACGTTTTGGCTGGCTCTACGCATATTCGTTTTAGATCCTTTTTTTTTTTTTTTTTTTTTTTACTAGCAGAACAGCTCTCATCTGGTCACGACTTGTAGGGAATTACTGTTCTGCAGTATCTGCCCAGAAGGAGGGCTGTAGGTGGGCCCAGGAGAGGAGCTAGAGGGAACCCCATCTCTCACGCAGCCTGGGACACAGCATCCAGCCCAGGCCGGAATCTCCTGGTCTGAGGGTGGAGAGGGAAGAGGCTTGAGCCAGCTCAAAGCAGATCCGCAGGGGTGGTTCTCACCTGCGACGTGTCTCCATTGTGATTAACCTGGGAGACACCAGCAGTAGCATCTATGCTTTTTGAACTGTGGCAACTAAATGTATTAAACTCGATAGGGTAGCCTTGTCCTTAGGTACAGGACAGGATGAGTGTATGACATTGTGATCAGTACAAAAGATGCTGTGATTAAATGTCGGGAGAATAAAGATTCTTCTTGCTTTGTCTTATTTTATCTGTAATGAGTTTGTGACACTGTTTAGCAAAAATACTTTCAACTGCAGTAGCATATTCACATATTACTTAGTGAATATAAATATGCATTTTTTAAACATTTTTAGTTTGAAAGATTGGAAGACCCGTTTGAGCTACTTCTTGCAAAATTCATCCACTCCTGGGAAACCCAAAGCCAGCAAGAAAAGCAAACAGCAGACTTTCATCAAGTAAGTTTGGCATCCAATACTTGCAAATATAAAGAACTAACTGCTGAACTGAAAAGAGGAACAGATGTACATAAACTAACATATCCGACTTCTCTTGCAGACCTTCTCCTGAGGAAGCGTTACTGTGGTCAGAAACTTTTGATGAGCTGCTTGCCAGTAAATGTAAGTTCATCTCTGGAATTAGATCCATTGCAAGTATCACAAGGGCCTAGGAACATTGCATCCACACCACAAATAAGCAGCTTTTGAGAGGAGAATTAGTCTTTGACAGAAAACTAAATGGAAATGTATGGTGGGAATGTCAGGTGGGGGGAAAAAAGTAGCCTAAAAATTAAAGTCTTAGTCACTTATAGTTGTCAGTTTTTCTGTTGTATCCAGTTTTCAAGAGCTGGGTTCCCTGATAATATATGGCTCGCCTACAGATGTTTCTCATAGACAGCAAGGTTAAATATATTTTTGTAGCAGAGTACTAACTTAATCATTTGCCTACTGGCATATGACTACTTAAAGAGCTACACTTAAAAGAGTCTTACAAGTTTTGAGTGAAATATAGAAAGCAGATAATTCCACTACTAGAAAAATATAAGGCGTTATTTAATCACTCATTTCTTCCTCTTATGTGTGCTTTCTTCTCTCCTTACAGATGGTCTTGCTGCATTCAGGGCATTCTTGAAATCAGAGTTCTGTGAAGAAAATATCGAGTTCTGGTTGGCTTGTGAGGACTTCAAAAAAACGAAATCACCCCAAAAATTATCTTCTAAAGCAAAGAAAATATATACTGATTTCATAGAAAAGGAAGCTCCCAAAGAGGTAAGAGAAAAGGGTACCTGCTTGCTGCATAATTTGGAAACCAGAACAGTACATGCATCAAGATCAGGTGGAACAGGGCATGGTAATGCCCTCTACCTTGGATAAACTAACATCTAATTCAATTTAAATTTTTCCAAAACTGGCTACATTTTTAATTTTTCAGATATTTAAATGTCAGTCTCTAACACTGAATACCAAATAACCTCCCCCTCTTTTGTTTGATTTTAGATAAACATAGACTTTCAAACCAAGACTCTGATTGCCCAAAACATACAAGAAGCTACAAGTGGCTGCTTTACAACTGCCCAGAAAAGGGTTTACAGCTTGATGGAGAACAACTCCTATCCCCGTTTCTTGGAGTCTGAATTCTACCAAGACTTGTGTAAAAAACCACAGATCCCTACAGAGCCCCATGCTACATGAGATGAAAGAAAGCCCCAGAATGGAGGACATTTTCTTTTCATTTTTCCTAAGAGGAAAGGCTGTGATCTGCTAAAAAGACTGACCTTGAATTCAGGCTGGGTGTTCAGAAAGCATCACTCAGAACTATTGATTCAGAGTTGGGTAATGAATCAGGAAGCCGGGAGCCTAGGAGAAGCTGTGTCGGAATGGCTTCGCTTACTGTGTGAAAAACCGAGGATGGGAACAATGGTCCAAAAAGGGTGTACCTCACTAAAAGAGCAGGAGTGTGAGATGAAAGATACAGTGTAATAACACTAGTCTAAATGGTGTTTAGGATCAATAGATCTGGGATTATGTGGCCTTACCTAGCTGGCTGTACATCTTTTCCCTAAACAGTGTGTGTTACCACATAGTAGTTTTGGTTGTATTTTAGATTTTTAGTACTAAATATCATGTTTACTATGTGCAAGGGTATTGGAGTTCTGAGGTCTGCAAATCATCAGTACTGTTTTCTGTGTATCGCTGAAACTGAAAAAGGTTTGTTTGAATTGTTGATAGTGTGAAATGGAGTGAATGTTGTGTAGAAAACTACAGTGTCCGTTATGAGTGCCAAATACTGTCTTGAAGGCAGCTAAACTTCGACGTGGTCTTTGAATACTTCTAATAAATTTATTTTGATAAATAATGTCTTTGAGCTCTTGGAAGTCAGATGTGACTCTATTTGATTTTAATAACTGTAAATAAGGCAAATAGAAAAGCAAAGATCATTCTAGTAAAGACATCCCGATTGAAAAGTTTTGTTTTTTTCTTTTTTCTCTCTTTTTTTTATTGTTTGGTCAGTTATGGACATGAACTCTGGACCTGGGTGCTATCCCTGAGCTCTTCAGCTCAAGGCTAGCACTCTACCACTTGAGCCACAGTGCCACGTCTGGGTTTTTCTGCTTATGTGGTGCTGAGAAATTGAACCCAGGGCCTTCTGCATGCAAGGCAAGTACTCCACCACTGAGCCACCTTCCCAGCCCTGACTGAAAAGTTTTTGTGCCTATGCAGTGGGAAATGACAGTCCTTGTGAAATAAAAGTGATAGTTACAATGAAACCACACTCTTCTTTATAAACATTATGTTGTCCTAACAAACTCAAATCACATTTGTAGAACCACTTTAAGGTCACACGTTCTGATAAAAATTTGTAAAATTCAAGCTTGTTACTTAATGGAAACATCAGTCCTTTAGCTAAAGGAATAAATATGATCAGTAAAATACCATGACGGGGAAAATCACCAGAATTATTCACTTAACTGCATTCAAATGAAGAAAGAAACTAAATAAGGTGAATGTATACCTGCTTTTTAAACTCTTGGTTCCAACCTCCCCCACAGATAATGGCATGAGGTTTCAAGTTAACATACCTGAAAGCTTCCTGCCAGCACCAGTCAGTCTAAATCTCAGAATTTCCCTACACCTCCTGTTGCATTTGATTAACAGTATGGGAAATGAGAAATAAAATAAAGTGTATTTTTAGTTCTTAAATTTAATCCGGGAGTGTAGTTTATCCTAGTTGAGAAGAGCTTGAATTTGTTATGCACCAAACTAATTAAAGAAGAATATACCATTCCTTATCAGACTAGTTTTCCAGTTATTTGGTTATAATTTTAACAACAGTAAAACTTCATCTTGGAGTTGGAAGACCTGAACCAAAGTAATTACTTTCTCTAACTGTGATCTTTTGTTCTCCATAATCCACCCTGGCTTCTCATTTTTTTTCCCCCTTGGGGCTTGAACTCTGGGCCTCTGCACTGTCCCTGAGCTCTTCAGTTCAAGTCAAGGGCTCTGTCACTTAAGCCACAGTGTCACTTCTGGTTTTCTGGTGGTTAATTGGAGATTAGAGTCTCATGGATTTACCTGCCTGGTCTAGGTTTGGACCACAATCCTCAGACCTCATCTCCTGGGTAGCTAGGATGACAGGCATGAGCCACCTGCTTTTGGCTTGGTTCCTCATTTTAGACTCTCCTACCTATTTCTTTGGGTTCTGTAAGGCAATAAGGGACTTTAGAAATTGTGAAGCACTCAAAAGTGCCTTTGCATATGGTTGGTCAAGACTTGACCTCCAGTATATTATTTACATGTGAATGTGCTGATTTCTATCTTAATAACACTCTAGTAACAAGAGCCACACACTGTGACAGACTGAATTGCCCAATGCTATCTCACCATCCACCTGAATATATGTTATATTGCTAACATAAGACATGATCCATAAAGGAATCAATGAATGCTGAAGGGTTGTGGAAGCATTGACATGTATTATAAAAAATATAAGTATATCAACTCTACATTCTCCTTAATTTGTAAAGATTCTTTCCAATGTACAAAGCAAGGAGTCATGCCATCTAGTCACTTTGCCAACAAGTCCTACTTACTTTACCTGACATTCTTTTCAGCTTACTCTCTGTCATCTGCTGTCTAAATAACTACATTTGTCTCAACTATCTCCTCCCCACAAAAAATGTAGTTCTGATTTTTAACTAAGGATTCTTCAGGGCATACTCTTGACCATGGCTCTTGTTTCTTAGAAACTCTGGAAAAATCTCCCAAGCATTTGGATAAAGGCAATATGCTGAATATGGCCAAGCACCTGTAGGGCTTAACCCATCCTTGCCCACTGGCCTACTTTCGTTCTCTTAAACATCTACACCCAAAATGGCCTTTGCACTTAGTATTTCCTCTGCAGAGTGCAATTTTAGCTCTTAGTCATCACTCAAGTAGCAATGCAATCGGCACATCCCGGGGGGGGAACTACTCTGGCCTCTTTACCTAGGTCAGATCCTTTTTAGATGTCACAACAGCAGCCTCTCTAATTTAGAGCACTTTCAAGTTCGAAATTCTCATCAATTGCATAATTATTTGGTGATTCTGTCTTCTTCAACTACATTGCAGATACCATAAGCGAGGAGGACCTGGTGTTTAGCTGTTCACTGGAGAATCTACATATATAGAACAGGAGAGAATCTGGCATGCAGTGGGGCCACATAACTAAATGGATGAAAAAATATTGAAAATCTTGTAATCAATTTTTGGTGAAATAAGAATTTTCTATCAATGTATAGAGAAAAAAAGGACAGTTTTAATGGTGTGTGTGTGTGTGTGTGTGTGTGTGTGTGTGTGTGTGTGTGTGTGTGTGTGTGTGTGTGTATGTGTGTGTGTGTGTGCGTGTGTATGAGATAGTGTGTTATGATGTTTCCCAAACTAATCTCAAACTCCTGAGCTCAAGTGAGTCTGATACCTTAACCTCTTAAATAGCTAGAATCACAGGCACATCTACTGTGCCCAGCTTCTAATTTTTTAAGATTTTAAAAGCCTTACTGGATCAAATATCTACAAACACCTGCAGGCCTTCTCGTTTGGCAATTAATGAATATTTTTACTTGACATGATCTTTGTGACTTTTGACTTTTCTTAGAAGAGTAAGCCAGGTTAAAAAAAGAAAAAAAAAGTGTTTTGACTCTGCAGACTGATTAAACCACAGGCTTTATTCAAGTGGTATTTTCCAATGTTCTCTATTGTAGAACAAACTGAAATAGATTTAAGATTAGAAACCACATACCTCCACAAATAAGTATTACTTTGTGTTCCAGATTCCCAAGTGTTCACACGGTTAGGATCCACAGTCCACTCATTTTGATAATGTATTATTGTGTCCATATTTTAAACCCAAGTTTGTTTCAAAATACAGTAATTTTATACAGTCCCCTAAAACCAATAGAAAGTTGAATCCTATTCGTCAGGGATAGAAATAAATAAGTTTCAATTAATTTAATTAATGTAATTAACATTTAAGAGGAAAGAGGTTTTTAGTAGTAAGATTTGTGTGTGCATGAGGCAATAGAAGGGTATATTTGAGCATTTTGGGTTGGGGAGTGAGGAGTGGGTATAACTGTCTCTGTCACAGATGAGAATATTATATGACCTTGAACAGTGCAGAGATTATAACACACCAACCTATGTCAGGCAGGCACTGTGTTCTAAGTTTAGTTTCCTAGGTTAGCCCAAAGTTAAGTAATTATTAAATTAATTAATTGAACAAATTATTCTGAATTTATGGAGACCATAGCTACTATTTAATAATGAGTTGATGTATACAGAAATTTCAAGGCATAGACGCCTTTGACAACAACTGGAAATCAATTTATCGATGGCAATGAGATGAGTTTTATTTAACTATTTTCAGCTAAGGTACAGCTGGGAGTTTCTTGATTGGAGAATAACAACCTTGCTGGACACAGGTGGCTCACGCCTATAATCCTAGCTGCTCAGTCGGCTGAGATCTGAGGATTGCGGTTCAAAGCCAGCCTGGGCAGGAAAGTCCATGAGACTTTTATCTCCTATAAATTAGTTAGAAAAGACCAGAGGTGAGACTTTTATCTCCAATAAACCACCAGAAAACTGGAAGTGGCACTGTGGCTCAAGTGGTAGAGTGCTAGCCTTGAGCTGAAGAGCTCAGGGACAGGGCCCAGGCCCAAAGTTCAAGCCCCATGACCACCAACAACAACAAAAAAGAGAATAACAGCCTAGAAAAGACCTCACCTGTGGCCTACAAGATAAAAGGAGGGGTCAGCAGGTGAAGAGTCTAAGGCTATAATATTTAATATAGGCCAGTAGTAGCCATGGACAGGTAGAGTTGTGGCTCAAGTGGTAGAGGTGTAGCCTTGAGCAAAAAAGCTCAGGAAAAGAACCAAGGCCTTGAATTTAAACCCCAATAATGCGCGCGCATGTGCACGCGCACACACACACACACAGAGGTGTGCATACACACACACACAAACACTAAATAGCTTTTATAAGATGAACAATCAAAACTTCACCTTAAGGTTCTATCAGGTCTTACTTCTTGATATCCCAGACACCTTTACCTTTCTCTTCTATTGAGAAATTAGATTAGTCATTTTATTACTGTGACAAAATAACTAAGAAAACCTACTGGAAGAAAGATTTATTTTGTCTGATGGTTACAAAAGTCTCAGTTTCAGGCCTGGTTGATCTGACACATGCTTGAAGAACATGGCAGAGGAAAACCATTCATTTCATGCAGCAAGAGACATAAAGGACTGAGTATAAGATACACTATTCAAAGGAATCCTTCTTCCATTCTGTTACTACTTCCTGCAATCAGATTCTACCTCCTCATTTCTACCACATTCCAATAAAGTCATCAAATTATGAAGCCACTAATGGATTAATTTACTTAAAGTGTCAATGATTTTATGATCTAATCACTTCTTTTTTTTTCCTTTTTTTAAATATATATTTTTATTGTAAAGATACTATACAGAGGGGTTACAGTTACATGAGTAAGGTAGTGGGTACATTTCCTATCGAGCATTATTATCTCTTTTGTTTTTCCCCTACCACCCCTTCCCCCCCACCTCCTCAACTCTTCCCTCCCAAGCAACACCCCCCCCCCCCAGGCTGTAAAGTTAATTTTTGTCTTGTACATCTCATAGTTACAATGGGTCAACCCATTTTGTTATTTCCCTTCCCCTCGCCAAATTAGAAAAATGTACATACAAGATGCAGGCCACTGACATCAAATACAGTGACAACAGGGGTTATACCATGGGGGAAGAACATACAAAAGAAACAGAAAAATCACATAGTATAATATAAGTACATTAAAAAGAACAACAACAAAAATAA